ACTAACTGGCTTATCCTAGCATTCTAGCACCTAACTGGTACTTAGATTCACAACGTAAATGACCCAACTGGAGTTCTGTCTTAGGGGTAAAACAGCTAAGATGTACTGGGTACCACCCACATGAACTGGATGTATCACTTATATGTCCCATTTCTTAAGTCTTCTCACCAGTGTTATCAAGTGGGTAAGATTTATTTCTCTTGGTATTCTTACAAACTGGATCAATGCCCAGGGCCTGACATTCTGAGGCAAGTCTGAAACCAAGTCTACATTTGCCTTAGCGATTCAATGACTCCATAGATGGATCCTGACGTTTAGACATGAGAGGAAGTTTCAATAGTCTTCATTTTGGCCTCAAAACCAAGCCAATAAAACTGATAAGTTGATCCCTATCTGACTTGACTATTTTTCAATTATTCTAAACTCAGTCAGAATAAATATGATTGTCACCTCACAAAAGTTCATTTTAATAGGTGAGGAGACTCAAGTGTAGAGAGATTAAGATTAAGTAACCTGCCCCAAAGCACACAGCTAGCAAGTAGCAGAGTCAAGATTTGAGTCCATGCTCTGTCATCCACCGCTCTCATTCACCTTTGGTCTCTTCAGTGTTTGGCTACTCTGAATTGATCCAGCAGACTTTCATCACCTTTGAAAGAACTAATAAAACTCACTTTTAAAACACTGGATCCACATAGTTATTACAAATACATCAACTCCAGGAAAAGAATCCATTTGCCATAATCCCTGTGGAATCACAGGTCTACCCAGTGGGCTCATGTCAGAGAAGTTGGACTCTAATTAAGCTGCAAAAGTATCATTATCATGTAATGGGTATGACCATGGGCTCTGGGCTAGGATCCTGGTTCTGCCACTTAAGCCTCCAGCCTCTTCATCTTAAAAATGGGGCAAAAATAATCCCTAAGCCTGTTGAGGAAAATATTAGTCAATATGAGCAGGGAGCTTAGAAGGTGCTGGGAGTGTGATAGCACTCAGCGCACGTCATCTGTGTTTATAATTCTGTTCGAGGTGTGTTAGCACACCCACTGTGTGCCAAGAACTATGCTAGCAACTCTGCTTTTACTTTCACGAAATTCTCACAGCTACTCTCTGTGATAATCATCTCCATCTCATTGATGAGGAAATCAGGGCTTAGATGGCTGAGCCACACGACTACAAGAGCCAACTGTGGGACCCAGGTCAACTGACTCCAAAGTCAACTTTGCCACACTATCATGCTATGACATTGCTTGTGTTCATTTTGTCTGAGAATAAACTATGGCCTAAAACTGGAAACCTAGAATTATAATTTCCTGAAGGAATAAGGGGTCATGCCATCCCCAGAGATCATAAGGAACAGACGTTGAGAGGCCTGAAAATGGCAGAAAGACTGCCTTCATGAACGGCTACTTAAAGGGAGGAGATGAGTAGAGAGAAGAACTCAGGAAAGACACAAGGAAAGGAAGTGGGAGAGCAGGTTTAGCACCTTTCCTGCTCTAATACATGGGAAACACTATTTGTGGGACTATGACTGAGTCAGGGTCTGTGTTCCCCACAGGACAAGGCGCAGCAACAGGAAACAGAAGAAGAGGCACTGTCTCTAAATCAGGGCTGGAGAAGGGTGCCGTTGAATGAGCAGGAAGCTGAGGAAAGATAAGCCTGAAAGAGACTCAGTGCAGCTGTAAACCTATAGGATGCCCGTGCCTGAGATTCTCCAGTCTGTATATGGAGTCTTTTTATACATTATGTACTTTATGTATTTCTTTTATGTGCTAAGCATCCTTTTCTCTATGGGGAATGTGGTCTTCTCTTGTCCTGTAAAATTCTTAGGAGGCTGTCATCCACAGTGTTCCACAGCCACTCTGGCTACAAGCTCTGGTGATGATCACGGATCACCATTGCCTTGATCACAGGGTTGGTCCAGAAGAGCAGTTCATTGAACTCCAGGTTTCAGGGTCTTATTCCTCTCGGATAGTAAGCTGTAAGTACCAGGTAAGAGAATGCAATGTCCACTGTATTCCACGTCTGTGTGTAAGAGCTCACCGAAGAAAGAGTGGCAGAGTTGGGAGAAAAAGGTGGGTTCTGATGGCATCACTTGTCACTGGACCTGGTCATGCTCCAGGTGACATACATTCCTAGACTTCCCAGTCCTGTGATCTACTTGCTTTAGATGGTATGATGGGGCTTCTGCCACTTGCAACCAAAAGAGCCCTGACTAATACTGAGTACAATCAGTACCCTGACAGCCTGCACAATACACAGCTGTGTACTTGTAGGGACACTGGGGCAGGGCTAAGAGGACCCAGCAGAGGAGGAGTTCTTTATGCTTTTGTATAAGCAGGATTGCGGTAAATCCCAGGGACGTGATCTTTGAAGCAGAACCCCCAAACCTTGGAGTGAACACACAGTGTGGACAGCAGGAAGAACTGCCTTAATTAGACCATGAACTAAATCACCCCCTTTTCAAAGTCTTTGTAAGGAGAGAGGAGAGAGAGATGAGGAAGTATGAATGTGTCCCCCGACCCTGAGGAAAAGAACTCACTCTGACATTCAGCCCAGGAAGTCACAATAGGCACTCCAGACTTCATTTACCCAGCTAGCAAATAGCTTGGGGGTAGAAACTCTCAGTCTCAAATTAAAATCAATAAAATCTTGTGCTCACTTGTGGTGGTTAAGTTTGTGTGTCAACTTGGCTGGGCCTGGGTGAGTGGCTGGGCAGCTGAACGTAGTTATTCCCCGTGGTGAGATTGGTAATTAACTCCATGGTGGA